GCTGCTGCTGCTGCTGGCGGCGATCGGGCTTGGATCTGCAGCAGCCTGCATACGGCGCTGCTGCAGGAAGCTCCGTGCTGCTGCTGCTGGCCGGAAAGCTGCAGCAACTCCAGGGGGCAGCCTGGGGAGCCTTGGGCTTTTGGCAGCAAGTTCCTTGAGCTGTAGCTGCTGCAGCTGCTGCAGCTCAGCAGACTCGTCCTCTGTTGCAGAAGACATCACGCTGCTGTTGCTGCTGCTGCTGCAGCGCTCGTCAGCACTTAAAGCTGCAACAAGTGGCTGCGGCGGAAACCCCTCAGTGTCCTGCAGCATGAGCCGCCGCTGCTGCCGCTGCTGCAGCCTGCGGCGTTTGTATCTGTCGCGCCTGGAGAGGCCCCCTTGCTGCTGCTGCTGCTGCTGCTTGCGGGCTGCAGCAGGCAGCGGCCACGGAAAGCCCTGACGCAGCAAAGCCTCGCTGCCGCTTCCTGCTTCCTCGCTGCTGCTGCACAAGCCGCCGCTGCTCTGGTTGCTGCTGATGCCCGTGAGGCTGTCTTTGTCGCTGCTGCTGTTGCTGCTGTTGCTGCTGCTGCTGCTGCTCACGCTCGGACGCCTCCGCCGCCGCCGCAGCCAGTGCTGCCTCCCTCTCTCGCTGCTCTTTCGCTCGGTTCCTGTTGCTGCTGCTGCTGCGCTGCTCCCGCGATCTGCTGCCGCTGCTGCTGCTGTGGACGAGCGGCGGCCCCGCAGGCTTGAAGCGCTACGTGCTGCTTCACCCTCTGCAGCAGCAGCAGAGCCAGCAGCAGGAGCAGCAGCAGCAGCATCTTGGCTGCGGGTGACTCCAAACGACAAAGTCGACAGCCTACGCAGCAGCCGACCCATGAAACTTGGTTCCTGCTGCTGCTGCTGCTGCTGCTGGGACTGTTGACCTGAGGTTTGCCTCTGCTCCTTCTGTAACGGCCCCTGATCCTCGCGCGGCGCAGCAGCAGCAGCACCAGTCCTGCTGCTGCTGCTGCTGCGTCGCCGCTGGCTGCTTTTCCTCTTTCTGCGGTTTCTCCGTTTTAGTGTTGCTCTGTGCTGTCTGTACAGCTGGTAAGTTCTGTGGAAAAGCTGCCGCAGCTGCAGCTCGTCTTGCATCCCGAGGCCTTGCTGCTGCTGCAGCAGCTGCTGCTGCAGCAGCTGCGGCTGCAGCAGCTGCAGCTGCTGCTGCTCCGCGCCAGCAGCAAAACCGCCGAACGCAGTTAAGGTTGCAGCGTCATCGCCGTCGTCAGCTCGCTGCAGCAGCACGTGCACCAGCGCTCGAAGCTGGTGCTGCGGCTGTTGCTGCTGCTGCTGCTGCTGCTGCCGCTGCTGCTGCGGGCCGCCAACTAAAGCAGAAAGAGCCCACACTGCCCTCGAGCCAGCTGCTGGCTCCTCAGCAACACCGCGGATTGTGTCGGAAGCAGTTTCTACAGCTTCTGCTGCTGCTGCTGCTGCTGCTGCTGCATCGTCCGCTGTTCTTCCGCGCCGCCGCGGCGACGGCGGCGCCACATTGTTTGAAGGCGCTGCTGCTGCTGCTGCTGCTGCTGAAACTCCTGCTGATGCTGCTGCAGCTGCGTCTGAAGCGCCGGCGCTCGAAGCGCCAGCAGCGTCGGCGGCTCCCTGCTGGCTCTGCTGCAGCCGCTGCCGTTGCTGCTGCTGCGGCTCCTGCTGCTGCTGCTGCTGCTGCTCCTGCTGCTGCAGCGAAAGCGGCGCAAGGAACTCTATGCCAATGCTAGCTGCATTCGTGGCAGAGACAGCAGCAACAAGAGAAGCAATATCCTCAGGGGTTGCAAGAAGAGTGCCTGTTGTCAGTTCCACAGAAATCCCGTGTGTTGCAGCCTCTGCTGCTGTTGCTGCTGCTGCCGCTGCTGCTGCTGCGTCTGCTGCCGTTCCAGCCACCCAAGTAGAGGTTGGTGCCGCAGACTCACCTGCTGCATCCTCCTGCGCCTCCTCTTCGGCTGCTGCTGCTGCTGCTGCTGCATCTGCTTCCGCACTGGCAGCGCTGGTCCCGGAGTCTCTCCTGCTGCTGATCCCACTGGCCGCAGCCGGTGCAGCAGCAGCAGCAGCTGCTGCTGCAGGCTGCTGCTGCGTGTCGCCCCCAAATACAGAATGCAGCGAAGACAGCCGGCGAAAGAAAGACCCCCAGTCTGACGCCCTCTCGTTAGCTGCCGGTGCTGCTGCTGCAGCAGCGCTTGTTGCTGCAGGACTGCTGCCAGCAGCATCTGCTGCGCGCTCCCTGTTTGCAGGTTCTCCAGCAGCAGCAGCAGGTGCTGCAGCAGCAGCAGCAGTTTCCCTGCTCGACCTGACGCTGTAGGGCAGCCGCGAACGAGCAACAAATGCCATGGGGCCCCTGCCCATTGCTGCTGCTGCTGTTGCCGTGTTGCTGCTCCTATCGCTGCGCCTGTCAGCAGCAAAGGGCGCAGCAGCTGCGTTTCTGCTGCCCCTCACGTGCCGGCTGCTGCTGCTGCTGCTGCTGCGGCTGCTCCTGCTGCTGCGGGTGCGGCTGCTGCGGCTACTGCTGCTGGGCCCCGAGGCCTCGCCCATTACAAGGTCAAAAAGAGGAGTGTTGCTGCGCTGCAGCAGCTCGAGCAGAGTCTCCCCACTGTCTGCTGCTGCTGTTGCTGCTGCTGCTGCTCCGCCCCCACAAGTGACCCCAGAAAGAAAGCCTGGCAGCGGGATCGACTGCAGCCACAGCAGCTCTACCAGTCTCTCCACTAGCTGCGGCTGCTGCAGCAAAATCTCCCTGTTGCTGTCTGCGCATGCGCTGCAGCTGCTGCTGTGTCTGCTGCTGCAGCCACCCTCGCTGCAGCAGGGCCGCCCTGGAGTTAAGAAGGCCCTGCGGTGTACGTACACCTGCTCGTCGTCGCTCTGCAGTCGCGAGCGCCCCACAACTGCTTCAGCAGCAGACCGGCTGCTGCCTTGCTGCAGCCAGCTGCTGCTGCGGCGCTGCTGCTGCTGCTGCAGCCGCAAGGAAGCTGCAGCACGGCGGGGCTTCCGGCTGCAGCTGCTTCGGCGGCGCTCATCAGACGCTGCCTCGAGATCCCCCTCACCTCTGCCGCTGCCGGAGTCGCTGCACTCGCTGCTGCAGCTGCTGCTGCTGCCCTTGCTGCTGCACCTGCTGCTGCAGCTGCTGCTGCTGCTGCTCCTGCTGCTGTCACTCGTGCTGCTGCAGTACATTGGCCCCATCTCCATGAGATCACACAAAGCCTTCCGCGTCCCCTCAGGGCCAGTGGGGGCCTCTCCCAGGGGCTGCAGCAGCCAGGGGCTCCACCGGCGCTTCTGTTCACCTGGGCTGTTGCTGCTGCTGCTGCTGCTGCTGGTTTTGCTGCCAGCCTGTGCGTCGCAGGCGCCGGGGCTGCACTCCCCTGCGGGGGGTTTCTGCGTGGCGGCGTGGGGCTGCCGCTGCTGACTGTGCTGCTGCTGCTGCTGCTGCTGCAGGAGCGCGCGCGGCTGCTCGGGCCTTCCGGCGGCGTCTGCTGCAGCAGCAGCACACCAGCCCCGCCGGCTGGAGGGGGGCCTCCGCAGCAGCCACAAGCTGCTGCTGCATGCAAGCCGCTCGTCTGTCTCTACAACCAGCAGCGTCAGCAGCCGGGCCAGCAGCGCCACATGGCGGACCTGCAGCTCCCCCCAGCCCCCCTGCAGCAGCGTGCCGCTTCCTGCAGCAGCAGCAGCAGCAGCAGCAGAGGCGGACGCCGCAGCAGCCGCCGCCGCTGCTGCGGCCGTTCCCCCCGGCGGCCGCCCCTGGGGGCCCCCCACGGGGGCCCCCCCGGGGGGCCCCCCAGGGACCCACAGGGGGGCCCCTGGGGGGCCCCCAGACCCATTTGATAACCAAGAGGGGCAGCAAAAATGAAGAGATAAAGGAGTTTCTCTGTAAGCAATAAGTTCCTCCAAAAGCATTTCTGCTGCGTCAGTGGAGGGGCTCACTAGGCACGACAGCAGGCAGCTCAGCAGCCTGCGCAGCAGCAGCAGCAGCAGCGCAGCAGCAGCAGCATAGGCACGACAGCAGGCAGCTCAGCAGCCTGCGCAGCAGCAGCAGCAGCAGCGCAGCAGCAGCAGCAGCACAGCAGCAGCAGCGGCGGCGAAACACAGGAAACCCTCAGCAACACGCTAGCAAACACACACAACGTGCTGCAGCAGCGCTGCTGCCCCAGCAGCAAGAAGGGCGGCAGCCAACGCAGCAGCAGCAACGCGAAGAATACAAAAAAGCAGACAAGAAACAGCAGCAGCAGCAGCAGCACCAGCAGCTTCTGCAGTCTCAAAAGACCAGGCCGTGTCAATAGCAGCAGCAGCAGCAACACCAACAACAGCAGCGTTTGGGAGCAACAGCGGAAACCCGCAGCAGCAGAAGCGTCAGGAGCGACTGCAGCAGCAGCACTAACAAGAAAAGCAGCAGAAAGAGCAGCAGCAGCAACAGCAGCAGCAAAAGCAGCAGCAACAGCAGCAGCAGCAGCAGCTCACCCCGAGTTGTGGGCCAGCTGGTCTGCAATGGGCGCATGCAGCAGCACGAACTCCCTCAGCAAATAAAAGCACTCGCTGAATACAACATGCAGCAAGTCCCTGACTTCTGCTGCTGCTGCTGCTGGCACCCGCGACAGCAGCGCAGCAGGAAGTGCTGCTGCTCCTGTGGCTAGCCCCACCAGTGCAGCAACTCCCCCCAGGCCTCCAAACACACAAATTGTGCGGATTGAAGCCATGCTGCTGCTGCTGCTGCTGCCAGCAGCAGCAGAGTCTTGCTGCACCTCGCCTATGGTGTGGTCCGCCACCCGCAGCAGCAAATGCCTGCACTCTGTCAGGTGCTGCCGCAGCCGCTGCGCCTGCTGCTGCTGCTGCTGCCGCAGCAGCCGCAACTCCCCTATTCGCTGCCACCGCTGCCGCTGAGCAGCAAGGGTCAGCAGCGCCTGCTGCTCCTGCTGCTGCTGCCGCAGCTGCAGCACCAACGACACGATCTCGTCCCCTGCAGGGTTGCTGCTGTGTCTGCTGATGTGCTGCTGCAGCAGCTGCACTGCAGCATCGTTGCTCACTGCAGCAACACCAGTGGCTAGCGGCTTCCGCCTAGCAGCACGAACCCTTAAAAAGGCATTTGCTGCTGCTTCTCGGCTTCTGCTGCTGAAGTACCAGCTGCGGTTCAACGCTGCAGCAGCAGCAGCACTCGCAGCAGCTGGGGCCTCCGCTGCAGTGGACCCCGCTGCATCTGCTGCTGCTGCTGCTGCTGCTGGTTCTGCCACCGGTCTCACTTCATTCCCCACTGGCCCTTCACTTGGTTGCGCTGCCCCTCCACCTCCAAATGAAGCCGCTTCTCCCGAGATAACAGTTGCTGCTGCTGCTGCTCCGAGTGCAACAGCAGCTGCTGCGCCTGCTGCTGCATCTGCTGCTGCAGGCTCTGCTGCAGCTGGTGCTGCAGCAGCTGGTGCTGCAGCAGCTGGTGCTGCAGCAGCTGGTGCTGCAGCAGCTGGTGCTGCTGTTTCTACGACCTGAATGTGATAGTCCTCTGGCGCTGCAGTGGCTTGTCCTGTAGCAGCAGCAAATGAGCGCGTGGTAGGCTCCTCTCCCTCCATCAGACCCAAGGCTCTCTGCTGCTGGTGCCGCTGCTGCTGCTGTTTGTGCCTCTCGCCCGCCCTTCCTGCACTTGCTGCTGCTGCTGCTGCGGCTGCTGCTGCTGTTGCTAGAAATTCTTCCGGCGAATGAAGCGGGAGAAGGAGAACCGGTCGACAGCAGAATGTTCGGTAAGGACAGCTGCTGCTGCCGGTGATGGTATTATTGCTGCGGCACTTCTGATGGTCTGCTGATACTCCTGCTGTTCCTGCTGCTGCTTCAAGTCAACCAGAAGACACAGTAGTAGGAAGGATAAACTCCGCTGAAACCTTGCCCTGCAAACTCCATGCTGCTGCTGCTCCCGTTGCTGCTGCTGCTCCTGCGGGGCTGGCTGCCGTTGATGCTGTTGCTGCTGCTGCCTTTCGCGATTCTGGTATGCCTGATAACGCCTGCAGCCTTCAGTGTATCGATACCTTCCACTGCAGGGAATTTCTCCTTTGCCCTCTAGTGGCTGGGGCTTTCCTTGCTGGGGCTGCTGCTGCTGCACTGCCACGCCCGGCGCCTCTGTTGCAGCAGCAGTGACAACCCGGCGGCTGCAGCCGCCGCGCCGAACGCGTTCATGCTTTCTCTGCCGCCTCATATGCAAACAAATAGTTAAAATAATATCTATTTCGTATTTTAAGCCACAAGAGACCACTCAGGACACGCAGACAGCACATGTCCTGCGCCGGTAGCCCACACAGGTTTCGCTCTTAGAGGGCGCTGCCGTGCTGCTGCCTGGCGCAGCAAATACACATTTCAAACTGTGAATTTATGCAGCAAAAATGAGCACTCATGGGGCAATAGGGCGAGTACTGCATGCTGGGCTTGCTGCGGCCACTGGCAGCTTGCAGCAGCGAAACTTGAATGAAACTTGAGTGGAAGGAAATGCGTTTCAAGTCGGCACACAAGTGACCCCCAAGGCGCGAAGCCAGCAGGTGATTTAGCCTGTCAGGGTGGACATCAAGAGGCTTACAGCTGTCCTGCACAAATATCTAATTGTTCCGTTTTGCAAGAAAACCCTAAGCACACTTCGATACAGTAGTAGTACACACCTATCACTGAGGCTGGTGACTGCCTGGGGGAAAGCTGCTAAATCCTAACTGCTTTCTCCATTCTCTAAACATTTTCAGAGGCATTTGAATTCCATGAGTGGCTTTTTAGCATAAATACTCAGGGCTATTGAGTACAGCGTGGAGAAAGCACTAGAGGTGCTGCAGTTCTGAAGACATTGCGCCTGCTGTATCCGCGTGTGACCAGGAACTAAAGTGTAAGAAAGAAAGCAGCAGGGAAAAGGAAAATTAAATTCATTTTATGCGCAAAGGAAGCAGAAAAGACAAGACTTTGTTCTTTTTCCCAGCCAGATACTCGCAGCCATAGGCCTCAGCCTCCCTGAGAGTCAAATGGCATTTACCAGAATCATGTCCTGAGGTTAGGGCTGGCTTGATCGAATAGCTAAAGTATATCTTCTTGAGTACATAAATATATATATAGGCATTTATGTATATGTATGTATGTGTAGAACTGCATATGAATATTTTTCTACCGCCATTCGTAGCGCAGCTGCAGGCAGCACACCATTTTTGCAAGGACATCTCCTTGATTCGCATGTTAGGTGTGGTTTTCTTCATTTTCATGCTAATTATAATGTTTTTCATTTAAAGATTAAATATAGGATTTCAGTTTCCAGGGCTCTGCAGCGCTGTTGCCATCCTCAAGTTGTGGAGGCAGCACACTGCAGCAGCAGCCACAAAGGCAAACGCATATGCATGTGCCTCGAAAAGGCTTGCCTTCTAGATATGTGCAGATACATATGAATAGAATGGAAATTGTACTTGAATTACAAAAGGGCCTTCTTCTCAAATCAGATTAAATATGTCATTGATCTCATTGGGGTCACTAGTGTTCAGTGCAGCACCACTTAGAGGGGAGGCATTCGCTTTTGACTCTCAGTCTGATCTTTAACATATCCGGAAAGTAAAATTTGAAAGCTTTTTTTCAAGTGTGAAGTTCCTCATTAAGACCTTTTGGGATATCTCGTTGCCTGTGTAGAAAGAAAGTCTCAACTTCCAGTGTACAGGAGCCGGAGCCAACACTGTTTCCTTTTTCCCTCTGTGGCTTTTTAAATCACCTCACGGCAACTCTCAACTAACTGTAACACTTGAACAATATAAAGTTCTTCAAAAGACGTATTTAAGCACCAAAAAAGCCAGCTGTGGGGCCGCAGTTGCAAGCTAATGCAATTGACATTCTTAAAACTTTCCTTTCGCAGCGAACGAAGCAGCAGCACGGACCGCGTGTGTTCTTCGAAGCGTTTTCCGCAATTCTCTCAAGTAGTTATATCTTTTTGCCTTCAAACTCAAAAAGTTCAGATCTCATTCATGCGGGGAAATGCTGCTTCTCTTTTCTTATCAACGCGTCACCAACTAGCTCACAGGAAACTTACGGGAGTACCATTTCACCAGAATTAGCAACACTTATAGTCACCTCAGCTTGTAAGTGCCACATAATGTAATTGAATATTTCAATATATTTTTCGACTCTAAAACGAAGGAATTTCAACTTCCACATGTGCTGTGATTAAGTTAAAAGCCGAAATGCAGTACGTTTTACAGTGTTTGTTAAGAGTTGACTGGGTTCAGGATTAGTCGAACATAGCGTAACTGCGACAAAAAAGGGAAAATTCAACTCTAGATCATAAGATTCGTATTATTTATAATATCTAAGCTTAGTGCATGATGAAGGCGGCAAATTTTCTAAGACTGCAGCGTCACGGGTGAGGCATCCGGGGTAACTGGACTCTTGAGGTGTTGATGGGAAGCAGCAAAGTTTGTCTGTCTTTTAGACTTTTGAAACCCTGTTGGGATTCTGAAGGTCCCACCGCGCAGGCATTATGCACACGTCGAAAGCTGCAACCGGGGCAGTTCGGCCGATTGCGAGGCTCAAATGAACGCCAGGATGCCAGAAAATGAAAGAAAAATATTTTAAAATAGAGGAAAATTAAATATTAAAAAATAAATAGAGCATTAAGGGCCGTTGAGGGGCAGAGGGATGCTTGAGACCACAGTGCGCCCACACACGACCCTTCGCGAGTCCTGCCAGAGAGGGTGGAGCTGGGGCCCCTCCAAGGAAATATGCAAGCCTGTTTCCAATTGCGAAATTTTGGAACACATAATAAACTTAAATACTTCAATAAAGTAAAATTGAATTAAGGCTTTGTGGTTTGCAGGGTGGCAGCGAGTGCCTGTTAACTCGTGGACTTGGGTTCCAGTATCGACTGCTACTGCTGTTGGTGCTGCTGTGTTCGTACCTGTCGGCTCGTTTCGGTTTGCTGCGTTCGGAATTCGCTATGTGTTGCCATTTGAAAAGTATTTTGCTTTCATGAATGCGATCTATCTAAATAAAAGGAAGTGCATCGGCGGTCTGTCTGTACTACGCAGCTCACCCTGCAACGGTGCACCGACCATCGGGCTGTTGCACATTCAGGTTCAGGCTGCTGGCACAGCGGCGAGCCGCATGTGCATACGTATCCTAGTGGCATCTAGGCGCGTTTTTATCCATTTGGAAAGCGTAGCATTACGATTTGCACGTATTCCTAATCTTTGTTTCCAATTGCCGCGGGGCTGTCTGCCATTCAGTGTTTGGACCAGCTATATCGGCTGTAGCGCGGCCATACCGTCACCGTCTGCCTCCCCACCCACTGCTTTCCCTTTCGGTCTGCAGGACAAACCCTGCACGTAATTAACTAACAAAGGTTTATTTCTATTTCGGCTCTTCAGATCAGCAGGGGCGGTCATGAACGTGGAGCTGCGGTGATCTCCCGAGGCCTGCGTGGACCGTTCTGGGCTCTAGTGGCTTTCCCTACAAACTGAAAAGCCTGTGGGACTCCAGCACTGGCGCTGTGCAGCAGGAATCAGACAGGACAGGGGCAGAGAAGCAGGAGGTGTGTACGGGGGGCCCCTTCTCTCCTGTCGCAGCAGCAGCACTAGCAGCAAAGCTGGGGCATACGCCGACACTTTTGTTTGTAAGGCCTTCGAAACTGCACTTCTTGGGAATTGCAGCGCAAATTAACACACAAAATGGGGCCTGGAGATGTCAAGGAACACAGCGCGGCCTCAGCCGCTGTATACGACCAGCTGCCCCTCAGGACATGGGACGGGGAAATGCCAGCGTAAGGGCAAAGGCACTTCTCTTGCGCTGTTGTTGTAAAAGAGTTAGATATTAGGAATAGGGAAAAACTCAACTTTTATTTTGAAACTGAGGGCTCGCTGGAGAAGTTTCTCTGCAGCAGCAGTTAGTGAACGTCTTCAGTACTCCTTAGTGTTGTTTCTGTCTTGTGCTTTCTTGCAATTGCAGGCAAAACCCCGATAGAAACCACTCAGCTACCTCTTCTGGCGCTGTGGCGGGGGAGAGTAAAGCCAACCCTCCAGTGAGTGTGTAGAGAGGGCCTCAATAGTTAGCTTCCTTATCGAAATTTGTACATTAAAGTGAAAATCATTGTTGAACAACTATTTCGGAACTTGCACCCGCTGCGGCTGCGGGGAGCTGTAGGCTTTCGCTTATGTGAAGCCATTGCCCCAGCAGCACTGCCGATACACAGAGTTCACAGAGTTATGTAAGAACATATTTACAACTGATGTTCACTCTGTGTGCTTTTGTTTCTGTTACAGAGCAACAGTGTTGGCTCCGATCGTCCAAAAGACGTAGTGAAACTACCAGAATCCGAACGCATGCAGTTGTACCAAAGGCATGAGCTGTGCGTGGGTTCGTTTCAGCTTCTCTAGCTCCACCTTCCCCTGTGTTGTAACCTTCTATCGAGTGTATAATTATATTCAAGTTCAATTGCTCAGCCAAGCAGCAAACCCGCAGCAAATGGAATGATACATTCTGGCTGGTCGCTGTGAAACGTATTCGCGCCTCAGGCTCGTTGACCAGCACGAGAAGATCGACTACAGCTTGCAAGTCATTCTGGATGAAATCGCCTCCCTGAAGGTGCATATATGGGATCCTTTTGCATGGCAGGACGTTGAACTTGGGCGGGTTTATGTTGCGATGCAAATGCTGCTTTGGGCTTCATTATAGGATGCGTTTTGTGTTCGCCCTGGGGGGCTATAAAGGCTTTCAGCACTCATGCTTCTAGACTATATATTGTGCTCATGGTGTTCTTCATCCAAGTGGTGAAAGACGCCTTGATTTCAGCCAAGTTTTTGATCATATTCTCTCGATTGCACTGAACACAACTAAATCATCTGGTTGCATTCCCTGCATATGAAACAGCCGCTCGCCGGAACCATTCAGGACGCGGAATGCGGGATTTTACGCTTTGTTGGGGTTGTGTTTCGCTATGCCTCAGGCGCAGGCCGCAGAAGAGAATGACTTGAATGTGCTGATGGTGCAGTTTATTGTCATGGCTGTGAAGTTACTTGTGGAAGCCGCTTTCAACAAGGACAAGGGTCAGCAGCGGCTTTCGCCGTTTTCTCAGAATAGATTCAGGAATAGCGTGCGAGTCATGAATTTGGTCAAAACCTTGCGGCGTATGGTTCTGGCGTGCTCACGAGTTGCTTATCCTCCTCTAGTGTTCGGGAAACATTCCATTTCGCCGCTGAACTCTCAACTGACAATACATTAATATACATAGGCTGTCGATGTCAGCTGTATGATTACTTCTTAAGCTCGAGCAGCGGATCCAGAACTGTTTTTGTGTTCAGTGGAGGAGTTGCTGCCTACACTTGAGGCAGAATTCCAGCGATTGCAGCTACCATCTCGGCACCCACGGCTCTTGGCGTGCTTCAATAGGCTGCGCGAAGTTTGCGGCAAGCCGCCCGTAACTGAGAGTGACTTGGCCACAAAATTAGTGGTTGTTTCAGTGACTGATGCAGATGGTGCTCCGCCCAGCAAGAGCTCGCCCGTAAGCAAGCCCTTCTCAGGCCAAGAGGTAGCACCAGCAGCAGCGGCTGCTGCTACTGCTGCTGAGCCATCGGTCGCAGGCGCCAGCCGAAGGGATGCGCCAGCCCGCTCTGGGGGCCTCGTGGACGATTCTGAGGACGAGAAGAGGAGTTCTTCTCCGCTTGGAAGCAAAGATTTCCCTGCTGTTGTTGTGCACGACAGCAACTCTGGCGAGCCCCCTGCTGCAAAGCCAGCAGAACTGATGCCTTCTCGCTCCCTTGATTCAGCCTTTAGGAGGGAGCCAGTGTTCACGCCAGGAGAACGGCGCAGAACAGCCACCGCATTTGGTGACGGTGAGCTCCAAGGGAGAACATGCAGCAGGTGTACTGTAGATTTGGGAGGCCTTTCCTTTTGCATGCTTCCTACGTGAGCGGTGAACGTTTTTCTCGTTTTTGTTTGAAGGCGTAGTACGTAGTGGGTTTTCGGAGTGAGTTGTGCATGTATTTTCACTTGTGTTTGGAAACGCATGTTAATGTTTGCCTATATGCATTGCATGTAGAGATATAAGGACAAGGCCCGTGCGTCTGTCAGTGTGCGCACGCTTTTCTGCTGCACTTCTTGTGCTGCAGGAGACTTGCCGTTATTTCAACAATTCGCTGCAGCTGGAGCGGCGCCTGCGCCTGATGAGTGTCAGGGGTTGGGCAAGCCTTTGGACACAGCTCTGCTGAGCCAAGCTCCGAAGGGAACTCTGATGGATCGCATGCTGGTTGAGGAGGCCGTGGTCCGTGAGGCGCAGGAGTTGGAGATGGAAGGAGACTTGAGTGGCTCCGGCTCCAGTGAAATGGGGTATATGGACGCGGTTCAGAGAAACAGCCTTCAGAGCGGGTCTCGCGGCAGCCTTTACAGAGACTGGGCCTCAGAGAGAAATGGCAAGAGGGCGGAGTCTGGCCCGGACTTGGGCGCTGATGAAGGACCATCGGAACTGGGGGATTCCACAAGATCTGTAAAAGCATTGAGCACCTTCGGCGAGGGGGGCTCGTTTGATGGCTTACTGAAACACGCCACCACCATTCTTTCCATGTCACCTTCCGAGTTAAGGGCTGCGCTGTTGCGGAGCACGCACGGGGCTAAGTCTGACGGCGCGCTGCGTGTGCGGCATGCCCATCGCGTTGTGCACGAAGACGAGCTCTCGGGTCGTTTGGATTCAGAGGGGCCTCCGGCTCCCATGCATTCGCTAGCGGCTGGCAACAGCAAGGACCACATACAGCTACTTCAAGATGCAATGGTGGCGGTGGCTGTTGCTGCTGCTGGGGAGCTGCGTGAAAGAAGCAAGGAGAAAACGAAGACGGAGCGGGCAAAGGAGGGGCAAGCCGTCAACAACGGCTCCAGTCCAAGTCGAGGGGAATCCGGAAATAGAAGTAAGGCTGCTGCAGCTGTTGTTCCGGCGCAAGGGAATGGTAACGCTCAAAAGATGCAGACGACAGCGCAACAGGCTGGCGCCCTGAAAGTGCCACAGTGTAAAGTACTTGGAGCTGAGTCCGGTGCTTCTGACAAGGCACTGCCACCCTCACGTGCTGGAGAGAATGGGCGGTGTGGTGACCTGTTTGGGGCATCAGTTGTCGGTTCTCCTATCACGGGCCGCACGGCCCCTCCGCCAACACCGGACATGTTGGCGAATCCGAAGAGGGAGGAAGCGGCAGCTCCTGCGTCGGCGCAGGAGTTCCCCTTTCAGAACGCTGGAATGTATTTGCCGGCAAATCAACTTGCTTGGCAGCAGTTTTTCGACAAAGCGGCGGCGTCCGTGATGCAGCGCAGAGAAAGGGAGTACTTGGAAAGCCAGGCAATGGCCCAAGGCCAGTGGATAGGGCAAACTGGAAGCGTTCCCCCTGTCTACTCGGCAGCCATGAGCTACTCTGTGCCCGGAACTAGTGTAACAGAAACAGACGCCGCGTTAGGACGGGGTGTGGTTCCCGTGGGGGCGCCGGCTGCCTTCCAGCCGAGCATGGCAATGGGGCCCACAGCTCAAGGTCTGGTGGACCCGGCCTATGTTCCGCCTGTTGTGTCTCCCTTGCCCGCTGTGAAGATTGCTGTGCCGAAGCCGCCAAACGCAGGTCCGGCGCACTGCGGGTCGGGGAAGCAGCAGGTGGTGGCTTCAAGGGTTCATGCACAGCAGGTCAGAGCACCTGAAGTGGCTTCGCTAAACGCCCCTATTATAGTGTCCCAGGATAACACCTTTGAAACTCCACGAACTGAAGGGAACTGGGTGTGCTGCCGACGCGTGCAGCGAGACGGAAACAAAAACGGAAAAGCAGCCAACCAGTTACGTTGATTCGTTCGCTTAGTTCATGTGTTCTTGGGGAAATCCGGTGAAAGTCACCACGATGTTGGCAGTTGTGTGTTTGTGCACTAGAATTCCTGTTGGGCTTATCCTCTGTTTGTCATGGGCCCTCGCACTGTGCTGCAACTAAGCGGCATTCCCGAGCCAATGGACTGTATCATTTGTGATTATGTCTCGCTTTGTGTCTTGCTGGGACGTGACTAATCACCAATGTAATACATGCAGCAGCTCTCCTGTTGCTGCACTATTTCTCAAGGTGCAAATTGCCCAATTTACTAACACGTTTCGGCATATGGCTGCTAGAGGGCAGAATTGTGCATGCGTGGCCGGCCTGCTGCAGCTAGGCGGCCAGTTTCAGCTAGTTGGGCAGCTGTCGTAGCTGTTGCTGCGCTTCTATCGCAGTGTTAGGGAAGTCACCTTGGAAGCAGGATTGGGCAACGCCACAGAAATATAGCAAATGGAATATATGTCCCCAAACCGGCAGAAGCCAAGGAGCCCAAAGATAAAGTATTACTGGGTGAAGGGATCCTTCCCCAACAAAAACGAGAAATGGTGACGCAACCTAACAAACGGTAGCTGCAGCTCGGCTTCAGTTTGTTCTTTCTTTCTAAAGCTGCAGCATCAGCTGGTCTTGCGCATGGAACTCCAATGCATCTAGGCTAACGTGGGTTACGTCTGCTCCCTCCTGCGGATACTCACAGGAACAAGACAGCGGCAGATCTTGCTAACAAGCGAAATTCGTTCGAGCACTTGCCGAGAAGTTTACTTGAACGGAATTATGTAGATGAGTAGATGATTCGTAAATGGGTGCAAACAAATGCACTGTTGACTACTCTGCATTATGAGGAGCAGATTGTTGCAGGGCTTCGTCATGGATTAAATCGAAGGCCTGTCAGTGCTCACGTCTGAAGCTGGTGTAAACAGCAGAACTTGATTGTTCATTGAACAGAATCTCCGTCTGGGATGCACACACCACAAGTCAGCCTTCTGTCCGATTCAACACGCTGGATGCGTGCAAAGTGCAAGCATACATATATACTGTCCCGCCGCAAGCAGGGAAAGCTTCACAGAGGCCTCATTTTACGCGTCCTGCAGTGACGATACAGTGCTAATCGGCAGTGAAACATGAGGTGTTAACGTATCTGCCTCTGTAAGAGTGCAGTGAATAGAATGCCTAGCCAGCATAACTCCGTCAGTTTTGCGTGTGGGGTGGTCAAAAAGGGTTCTTTTAGTCAGCGTGAGCAAACCAAATGTATCGACAGTCTCACCGCGGAAAGGTTTGTACAAGAGAAAAACTTGACAGGGCTGTGAGGGGTCGAACGCCTTCCACGTTTTGGCTTTCAAATACTATCCAATCGCAGATGTGCTGCAGCAAGAGCAGATAGGCAGAGAAGCTCACCTTCATGCTACATCCTGAACACTAGTCTCTACATATCTTTCGATATCTACATATCTTTCGCACGCTAAGCAAACTGCAACTCATGATGATTTACGTGCCAAAGGAATGACGCAGCAGTGATGGAAATACTAAGCTCTTTATATTTTAGAGTGAACATGAACGGTGGCAAGGAGGAGCGAAAAGCAGCGGAAACACGAGAACTTCATGTAATTGTGCACTATTGCGGCATGCTCATACAGCTGCTTGCCTTGATTGTTTGGTCTTTACGAAACCGCCGAGACAGGCGCTTTCCAGAGGGCGTTCTCACAAATACAAACTTAACGTCCGCCTCGCCTGCTGGAGGTTCCTCGGGCGGCTTTGCTATTTCCTGACAGTGCAAAAGAGCTACTGTAGTAAAAGCGTAGTAATGCCAAATCCAAACATATATATTAAGATTATACTCGTGAAATTATGTTATTCATGCATTCACTGTAGTAGCGTTTTTCTTTTTTCGTTTATGTTTCTGAAGCTGCCCTCCGGTTATGTAATTGTATGCACTGCGAAGAGTCTTGCCTTTGAATCCTCCTGCCCACTTGACTCCCCTGCAAGTGCAAACTCTACCATGCTTCCTTTTTCTTCGCGGATCACGTTCAGTGTTATCCAGTGTCTTTTTACAAGCAAACACAGAGGATTTGACTAAAGTGCAAACTGGCCCGCGTACCTTTTTGTAGCATTCCATAGACAGACGAATAGCTTCCTGCAACTCAGGATCCTCTGATGCGTCTTCTGGCCCAGCTGCGTCAGCTACAGGGCTTCGATCCTCGAGGCGGCTGAGGTACAAAACGTGCAGGCAAAATGGGGCAAGAAACTAAAAATGTGCTGGTCCTTGTGTTGTATACAGTTTTGCAGCGAGTTTCATGAAATTTGGGAGGCGCCCATACATGCATGAAACCATGCCTGAGAATCTGAGCCACAGACTGTTCCCCCTTAGGCTAGATATGGTTGCCGGCGCTTACTATCCTTCTCCCTGCGGCCATACGTGGGGTTCCCTGCCTCTAGGGGCACTAGCGAGGAATGATTTTCCTGAAGTCTGTGGCAGGAATACCCAAATATTTAGTATTTTAACATGAATAATGCAGCTGCTTAAGAATAAATGGTGCCATGCCCGGCACAGCGGTATCGGTGAAAAACCACGCGCGCAAGAAAATATTTTAGCGGTCTAAAAACAGTCACAGTACAGCACGTGTTGAAAAAAATCACTTTCGGATGAACCTGACCTTGTTTTCTGTGAATAGCATTTAGGAAAGGGACCCAGAGACCCAGATAACTGGGGAGACAAGGAGATACTCACTGCATCTCCATTGCCCCCAAGGCGTTGGGCTTCTTGAGCCGCCTTCGTTTCCTGTTCCGCTGCTTTCCTGTGGAGCTCTGAGCAGGCCAGTCATGTTCAGAACATTAAAATATACACACTACAGCCGCACCTACACTCATGTCCAGATGAAGCTGCCATGAGCTGTTAGCAGCTCTTTTTATACGTTTTTATGCTGGGCTTGCTGCGTAAGGAGATAAAATTTCGGCTGGCTTGGCCACAGTCACCTCACCGTCAATCTCCTTCTGTGTCAGGTAGAATTGATTATTGTTTCGAGTCTGCATAGCTCCTGGGGCCGGCAGATCACCCACTTCCGGTCGAACGATGAAAATAGTATAGCCCTGGCCCTTCAAGGAGCTCAAAAATGCCTCCAGGTGAAAGCTTGAAATGACAGTGGGCGCCGGTTTCATGCTATCCAGATTGTACCTGTAAACAGTCTGCACATGTTTACATATTCTTCCAGCCCGTCGCAATACATAATTCAGATTTCTAGATTCGGGGTTGTGGTGAGATCTCGCGCACCATGTGCCGTGAACTCTGCGCAGCGCCAGCCAGTGGTCCGCGTGGTTCAAGATGTAGCCGAAGTCGACTCCGGCTTCCTCATGCTCGCCCACATTCCTTTGACAAATGCAGTGGATTCGTTTCCGCCGTAGGCATTCTATCAAGACGCTGACATTGAAGTATCCATCAGCCGCGACGTTGCCGCTGCCTTCCGCCAAGAACGCTTGGTAGTCCTTTGAGTGGGTGCCTGAAACACCCACAAAGCCTAATTTTAAACCTGAATTACTAGTGTGTGAATGATATGTTCGAAGAAACATGTACGTGGGCTAGGGGGAGCCGCGCATCAACTCAGCTTGGGCCACACGCAGCGCCGTAAGCGCAAATACACTGGCCATAGGCTCAGGCGGACCTCCCTCTGCCATCAATTGTCGCTCCTTCTGGTCAAGTTCCAGCCCTATGGACGACAGTTCCGCCTCCGTGAAGTAGGGGCCCTGCAATGGCAGTTGACGAGCAGCTTGTGGTTCACTTCAGCTCAATGTTGCTTCTTCCGAGTCAACCAACTAGCTGCTAATAGGCACGACGTCTCAGGTAAACTATTACTGGATTTATTTTCACAAAGGGCAGTATTGGCCCATGACAGCTCCAGCTTTCTACAGCATGCGTATCCACCTCACCTGCAGTACCGAGTTTAGGCAGTGCAGAGCGCACATGCGATCTGCCCCTTGCTTTTCCCAGTACACTAGTGGACCACGAGATCGCATTGACATTTTAGGTTGATGAAGGTGAAGAGAAGGTCACGCGCCGCTGCGTCGAGCTGACGAATAAACCCGAAGGTCGCGAAGGGGAGCAGCAAGCCGCTGAGTTCTTACGCAGTGCAGGCAGTTGTGTTCGGTGAGTTCAAGTCGAAGCAGCTGTATTCCTCTAAGGGCTCATAACTAAGCTCTGGTGACCTCTGACCATTTCCGGTACGGCTTTGCATGCGTCGAGGGTTGACGTTCTGCAAGCGTACCAGCTACAAGCTGCCCACTGGCGACAGCGCAAATAAAATAAAGCCTAAAGGAATTTATGGGTCTTAATTTGCCCCAACCGTTTGCTTTGCCTTTGCTGAGTTGCCGAGCCAACTGGTGAAAGGCGCCGCCGACAGTGGCTGTTGACTCGCTGCAGCATGTAAGGCCATAGAGAGATAGCAACGGAGGTACGTGCAGCCCCTTCCTGATTCCTTCCAGGCTGAGAATGCAAGAAAGGTTCGGGAAGGAAGGAAATAACAATGGACTCTGCGTGAGCCGACTCGCCACGAGGGAAGCAACCGGTCAACTGCCAGCACAGCCAATAACCGGAGGCGCCAGTCAAATTTTGGGCCCAAAACGCCCCACAAAATACCTGATACTATCTGTTTGAAGTATATTTGGTTCTGGTTTGGCTAGGAGGAAAAACTTAGCGTCTGATTGCATGCGTGTTAAGCAGGGACGGTGGCGGCCGCTCGCTCCCTCCTCTGCATACGTGAAACTGAAATCCAAAGTCATTAGCCCACTTATTGACTTTTTGACCGTAGCCAAAGTAATTAAGCTACAAAGTGAATAGTTTGTTTTCTAGTGAAGCTCCAAAACCCGCGTTCAGCGTTAGCTGGTGGTTGTTGCTGGAAGCCACAGCGAAACGCAGTGTTGTTGCTGCCAACCTTAAAAGAGCAACACAACTTATCAATTTCGATAGGGCACAAGATGCATTGCTGGTACAATAAAGGGC